GGCTGCACAGACCTTGTAGAGCACAGAATAAACACAGGCAATCACCATCCAATAAAGATCCCTCCGAGGAGAATAGCTCCGGCAAAGCGACAAGAGATGGAGAAAGTCATGGATGGCCTAATTAAGGAAGGGATTGTCGAGAAATCAGATAGTTCCTGGTCAGCTCCCGTCGTGTTAGTCCAGAAGAAGGATGGGACCCAATGTTGCTGTGTGGACTTCAGGACTCTTAACAGTATAACTGAAAAGGACTCATACCCATTGCCAAGAATTGGTGATACTCTCGATGCCCTAAGTGGAGTCAGGTGGTTTTCAACTCTAGACTTAAAGTCGGGTTTCCATCAAGTGAAAATGGCTAAAACAGATAAACCTACGGCTGCATTTAATTACGGCCAGGATCTCTGGCAATACTGTGTGATGCCATTCGGACTTAGTAATGCTCCAGCAACATTTGAGAGACTGATGGAAAGAGTACTGGAAGGCCTACAATGGAGGATAGCCCTACTGTACGTGGATGATGTCATCGTGTTTGCAACAACGTTTGACGAGGAAATGTTTCAGCTAGAAGAAGTATTCAAGCGTTTGAAATGCCACTTGTTCCAGAAAGAAGTGCTTTACTTGGGCCACATTATAAGTGAGCATGGTGTGCAAACTGATCCTGACAAGGTGAAAGCAGTGCGTGATTGGCCAACACCAGATAATGTGGGAGAGTTAAAAAGTTTATAAGAACTCTATATCTATTACCGGAAGTTTGTGAAGGACTTTGCAACTATAGCTGCTCCATTACATGATTTAACAAAAAAAAAAGCCAGAAGTTCGAATGGACAGTTTCTTGCCAGCATGCTTTCAAGACATTGAAAGAAAATTGGCCTCAGCTCCACTTTTAAAACATCAAAATCCCTCACTGCCATGCATACTGGCTTGTGATGCTAGTAATGTCGGAATTGGAGGAGTGTTGTCTCAGAAAGTGGGTGAAAACGAACATGTGGTGGCCTAGTTCAGTGGGGTCCTGAGTAGACCAGAGAGGAACTACTGTGTAACACAAAGGGAACTCCTTGCTATAGTAAAGAGTCTGACATATTTCCATCCTTAACTCTATGGGGCTAGGTTTAACATCAGGACAGACCATGCTGCATTACGCTGGTTAAGATCATTAAAGAACCCAAAGGGACAACTGGCACATTGGATCGGAAAGATAGACCAGTATAATTATGATATTGAATACAGAGAAGGAAAATCTCATGGAAATGCCGATGGACTGGGCTGAAGACCCTGCAAAAATGACTGCAGACATTGCTGCAAAAGACAGGTTGAGCTAACCAGGTGTCATCAAGCTGAAGTCAAAGTGACTGAAGAAGTTGATGATGGTGAAGTGGAATCAGGTATAGATATCAAAGCAGAACTGGAGAAAGACCAAGATTTGAAGCCAATAATTGATTTTCTAAAAGCAATTGTTTTGCGCCCTTCCTGGGAGAAGGTGTCTTATGAAGAGTTGCCTGAAAATGTGTCAAAGTTCGTGAAAGTGTTATCTGAAAGGATGGATGATATTCACCATCAAGTGCGTTCAAACTTGAAAACGTCTGCTAATTCCATGAAGCTATGTTTATGATAAGAGATCTACGGAAGTCAGCTTTGTACCAGGAGACAAGGTGTGGTTGTATAATCCCAGGAAGACCAAAGGGAAGTCTCCTAAGTTGTCTTCTCCATGGGAAGGCCCATATGACATAGTGGATC